CTGTGTGTGGTAGGTGGGGTAGGCACTGTGTGTCAGGTGGGGTGGGCACTGTGTGTGGTAGGTAGGGTGGCACTGTGTGTGGTAGGTGGGGTGGGCTCTGTGTGTGGTAGGTGGGGTGGGCTCTGTGTGTGGTAGGTGGGGTGGGCTCTGTATTGTTTCTATGCGTGAGGGACAGGATCTGTATCCACCCCAGCTGCATAGCTGTGTTCTCCATAAGCAGACAAAGGTCTGTTTGTTGTCGCTATTATCTGGGTGCTCATTTGCTGAGTAGATGTCCTTGGGCATTGGGGATGGGCAAAGCTTGGGTTGAAGGTAACAGACTTCAAAATACCTTCTTAATAGTGAAGACACATGTGACTTGGAAGAATATCCTACATAGTGAGTGGATGGGGAGAGAGAACGAGAGAGAGAGAGAGAGAGAGAGAGAGAGAGAGAGACAGAGAGAGACAGAGACAGACAGACAGAGACACACAGACAGACAGACAGACAGACAGAGACTATTGACTAAAAGATAGAGTTGAGTCTGTTTCTTTCTAGTAACAGGTGCCCATGCCTGCCTTTCCTCTCTTTTTCTAGTGTGTCTGGCCAAATGTCGTTTTCCCTATAATCCCCAGATAACTATTTTAATTAAAATTTACAAAAAATATCCAGTAGCATGTGGTTTTTCCTCTGCTTGGGAAATCACCTAGACTTTTATAAATAACCTTTCCCACGGTAGACTGTCTGTGGGATGCATGTTTCTCCCCCTGGCTGGGGCTTGGGCTCTCAAGGTAGGGTGGGCTCCTGGTTACCTTTGGCGCGGTGACAAAGTGATCCCACCTCTGCCCCATGGACTTGTCCTTGTTGATCTTCTTTATTGTGCTCTTGCTGCCACCTGGGTCCCTGCGTGACAAACAGCTTTAATGAGTTTTCAGTTCGCAGTCTTGGCTTATTACAAGCCCCCCCCCCCCATCCTACAGGAACACAATAAATTCAGGCTGAACGAACGGTCTCTAGTATGATTTTTCTCCCCCACTGCTTTGTTTTGGGAGGGGGAGCAGTTCTGCATCGGTGGGTTTTTTAGGCTAAGAGAGACCACCCTTTCCTGGGTGAGGACTGTGGGAGGCAAGGTATATTTGCATGAGCTCTGGACTTGGGCCCTTTTATGGAGTGAGTCCAGGGTGAGGCTGCGGTTATGGTGGTGGGGGACAGGAAAGTGTCCTCCTTTCTGCATCTGTGCCTTGCCCGCTCATCACTGGCACCAGCATCAGGAACACTTAAGAGTATCTGAGAGCGCAGTGAGGCCAGATGTCCCAGGAGGATGGGTGTGGGCGTGCAGAGTCACACAGTGACCAGAGTCACTGGAGCACCTGTACCAGATGCTTCTGGGCTCTCAGGAAATCATCTCCGTCGCTGCCACCTTGAGCCAGAGTCATTAGCACCGCCCCCTGCAGCTCAGGAGAGGACCAGAACTCCAGGCCCCTCCCTCACCCAGGTCCCTGCCATGGGGTGCATCTCTTAATCTGTGATCTTGAATTATTTTTATTAGAGTGCCCTCCTCCTCAGCATCATATTCTTCCCTCATGGTCTGGGAACTTTCTGGATAAAGATTAAAGCTCAACAGGCTTTGTGGGTGACTCCCTTCCTCACAGAGTGCCACCAGATTGATCATGTTGGCATTTTTGAATGCGCTATGTTGCGTGTGTTTCCATAACCCTTCCAATGGTCAGATGAGCGGAACTTAAGGTCCGTGTCTCATAATGTGGAGCTCTGAGAAGCAGACCCACAGGCTGTCACCAATAAGGAAAGGGACTCTTCCACCCCTCGAGGCAGGGCCTGTTGGGTATGTAGCAGTTCACAACCTTAACACAAGAAAATAAGGTAGGAGCCAGGCTGGGGTGGGGGTAGGATGTGCCTCCAAGCTTTTTGTAAGACTTGGTGTTTGATTACACAATAAAAGCTCTGAATAATTAACAGAGAAGTTCATTTGAGTCGGTTCTGCTCGCTTGTCCCCTGAGTAATCAAATTAGGGACTATTTAAAATCCAGCCAGAGGAAGGAGCGGAGCTCCAGCCATATACACAATGTTTAAACAGTGCTGCCTCTGAAGCCCGATTTCAGGCTAACCAACAGGCAGCTTTGCTGTTCCACGGTGTCTTTCATGACCACGGGGCTTTTGGCTTTCTCCTTTGCTAAGGCAGCCCCTGCTGAGCTCCCAATGCCTTCTTGAAGTTCAAAAGCAACCTCCTTCTCCTTTCAAAATTAAATCTGGGCCCAGACAAGCTTTTGAAATCTTAAATATTCAGGTCCAATCAGGAAGATAGAAGCCTTCCGCTAATGCTGACTTCCAAGGCGACCTGAAGTCTATTGCGACTTCAAGCGGCAGGCTAAAGGAACTAAAGCGGCATCCGGATCCCTGCAGACCTTGGGAAGCCCTCCGCGCTTCCTCTGCAAAGCAATTGGTAAAGGAGAGGCCTGGTTAGGCAGGACCGATCTCTCTGATGCTTCATCCTCAGTAGCAAATAAACCCCACCTGAGGATAAATAGGTGGGGAGGAAAGATCAAAGGCAGCTGGAGCAGGGAAGTATACCCTGCACCTTGCCCTGGAGGCTAAAAGCGAGTTGGTGAACCCTCCCTATGAGCGCTGTTCACCAAATGGAACCCCACTTCCCTGTCCCCTGAATTTGGGTGTCTCTCTGTGACTTGCTTTGTTAAAAAATACACGGCCATAAAATGACAGTGGCTCCTGAGGCAGATGGGTTCCCAGCCTGTCCTGAAGGAGCAGATTCCTTGTTCTGCTGATAGTGAGAGCTGAGTTAGACAGATCTCTATCTTTCTGGTTCCCTGCATGGCCATAATGAGAAAGGCCCTGGTGTCAGGTGTGAAGGCTGAGCCAAAAGCCAGTTTCAGAGGTGGGGAGGATGAAGGGATGACTGCTCATTTAGCACATTTGACTGATTTGTTCTGGGACTTCAGGTGTCTGTCCTTGAGTATCAGAAACTGGTGTTCTGCTGGAGTTTACCTGACCCGGCCTTCTGTGTGTGTGTGTGTGTGTGTGTGTGTGTGTGTGTGTGTGTGAGAGAGAGAGAGAGAGAGAGAGAGAGAGAGAGAGAGAGAGAG